ATGATGGTCCTTCTCTCCTTGTTAATGTGCTACTTCTAATACACTGTGAGGTTAATAATCAAATAGCCAAATTGGTTAGCAGCGTTACAATAGGTTTGGATGGTCCACTCAGTGTGTGGACTTTGCGACCGCTCAGAAGTCATTTTGGCTTTTTCTCTTCTTTGTTCTAAACTGAGGTTTCTAGATATCTGAATTCAGATGAAGTGAGGTGGTGATAGCCAAATCATGGGAGATAATAGTCCCACGGTACTCCTTGAGGAGCCAGAGTACATCTATAGTAGTGTACCCAATCCTGGGAAACACGTTTTAAGATTACTGACCAAATATGAGTCTCAAGGGAACAGTAACCAGGATGGAGAGTGAGGAAGTTCTGAAACTATGCCATATGAGGAATAACTGGGAAGAGTGGTGATACTGCACTGGGAGAAGGAAAAACTTAGAAAAAAGGAAAAACTTATTGGAGCATAGGATAGGACTGATACAGTAACAAAATTATTCTGTCTCCCCCCACCATAACGATGCCAAGTGGCATGATCATGACCAAAGAGCAGAGGTTAAAATGGGACAGATTTTGACTCAGTGTAAAAGAAATTTCTAATAATGGGAACTGTCCAACAATGTAACTGACTAAGCATTTACCACAGCCTGGGCCTGGGGAGACAAAACTAAGACAGAAGCTACTCTAGAGCAGCTCAGAAAGTGAAAGCCCGTCCTTAAAGTCATTAAACAAAGACTAAATGAGCAACCATTAGGGATAACTGTGCTGGATAGTGGACCAGAGACCACGACAGCTAAGGTCCATTCTAACACCACATTTTAAGGGTCTCAGACACAGGCTGGAGTAGACTGGCACCCCTACAGAGCTGGCAGACGACTTTAGGGCAAGATAAAATATTCAGTGTGAGTCTGGAGTCCCCAAGGAGTACAATATATTTTTGAACTCTGTCTACCAAAGTCTTTTTACGGTCATTAAATTATGCATGAAATTAGAGGCCAGTTAACTTTAGGGTTTTACTGACACCTAGTGGTAAATATGGACATCAGTATAATCTAAAATGTTAGAAGACAATATACACAATTATGATCACAAAAATATTTAATATTTATAAAAATTATAAATGCATATAGTGATAAAAATTTATTGTTTTGAATTCTATTTTCAAAAAGGATTTAAAATTGTTTAAATGTTATCTTCAAGCTATTTTTATCTTGAAATTTCAAACTCTTCAATTTCTTGATTGATTGTATTTATAATCAAACCTATAATGCCATTACTGTATCTTTTTTTTTTTTTTTAAAGATTTTATTTTTTCCTTTTTCTCCCCAAAGCCCCCCGGTACAGAGTTGTATATTCTTCATTGTGGGTCCTTCTAGTTGTGGCATGTGGGATGCTGCCTCAGTGTGGTTTGATGAGCAGTGCCATGTCCACGCCCAGGATTTGAACCAACGAAACACTGGGCTGCCTGCAGCGGAGCGCACGGACTTAACCACTCAGCCAGGGGGCCAGCCCCCATTACTGTATCTTTTAACTCATATATTTCAGTTATGCTATTTTCATGGTTTATGAAAAACAGAAAAATAACATCTAACTATCAATTTATTAAATTTCAATTTGTAACTTGATATCATTAAAACACAAAGGTAAATGTGCTCTGATTCAAAGGGAGAATTATAGACACCAATCTAAAACCATTAATGGTACTTTTTCATGATAGTGACACCCTGTCTGAAACATTCTTGCTCACTGAGAATGAGCCTGGAGAAGGCTGGTTTTGGTTAAACCTAGGAACCACGACTAAGAAAAAACAGGTGCTGATTGGCCTATGGGGAAACTAAACCCATGCCTGGGCCCCTTCAGAATGCCTTTATGCTAAATAAAATAAGTGAGATAAATGGCTATGGCTATTGAGCTATACAATATTTATAAAAATTTTCTGTGATTCACTTAAAAACAGAAGAGAAAAGGAGAATGCATCAAATTTTCCATAGTAAGTAAAACATATGAAAATTAAGATTATAGATAAAAATTTAGCTGATGTGGTTGATATGTTTTAACAACATGATAGGAAAATAAAACTTTTCTAGGATAGAAGAAATGGGTACTCTTAACATTTTGATAGTTATGGTACCATAACATTTTGATACGAATGCAAAATGCCACTTCTCCCATCCCTATTCTGACTTTTAAAGGAATCGGAATCTCCAAATGCTTCTTCCTTCTGCAGGTCCTCCCCCCTCCCATGAATTTTAAAATAAAACACAGAGTGATAAGCCAGTTCTTTTTCCTACTTAAAGGCAAACCACCTTATGCGTGGGACAGACCATTCCTTGCAGGTGAGGACTCGAGTGCAGGCAGTCTGGCTCGTGTCTGTACTTCCTGTCACCACCCTCTGCTGCCCTGAGTGACATCCCGGGTTGTGCCAATAGCCCCCAGCCCAACACGAGCCAGGAGGGCTTCACCACCATGACGCCGGCGCTAGAGAAAACGACTTCCACTTTTCTGATCTATTTTAGTGACATGAGAATTTATGTCAGAGATGGCAATCTATAAATTTATCATCCATTTTATTACTATTTAGCTTGTGCTAACTTAGTGTTAGTTGAAATAACAGAAAGGAATAGAACTCCTAGGAAGAGTATTAGCAAAACTGGGCAAAATCAATGCAAATTTGAATATTTGTATGCATCTAACCCATTTACAAAGTTGCTTACAGTAACAAAAAATCTTCTAGACACACGGAAGCTAAGCATATTGCCTTATGACTTACCATAAAATCCTTTATATGCTTAAAGAAATTCTTCATAAACTTTAAGAAAATTTTAAGTTTCCGTGCAATGTTTTTTCTCCAGATAACATATAACCCGTTTCTCTAAGTTTTCTCACAGGGACAACACCTAACTCTCAATTGTTTTTGTTTCTCTCTAGGATGGAATGGGATGGGAGTAAAGCTTAACCAATTTCAGCGTGGGCTCTATAGTTTCCATTTATTTTAATACATTGAATTAATTTATGGAATTACAGAGCACAGGTGGGGATGTTTAGCGTGTAACAGGATTGAATTATTGTAAAGGAGGGTCAGAATGGAAGGCAAGCGACCTCAAATCCATTTTGGAAGAATACTTAAAATTGCAGGTATTTGAAAAGCACTAATAATAATGATCTACAACAACCCCAGTTAAAAAAGTTTTTGGTTTTCTTGCCAAAATTAGTAACATAAATTTTAGGATGATCATAAAAACTTTAACTACATAAGTTTAACTAGGATGGAACAAACCCAGCAATGGAAACAGGTGTGATTCTAATTTTTAAAATGCTGTTGATGCAATAATTTATTTAAAGTTATTCTTTGTACCTCGTAAGAGCTCAACGTTGTTCAGAAGAAAGTGCAGTGGATTAGAAGTAAGAAGGTCTGGGTTCCAGCTGTCGTCCCATTCCTTACGAGGCTTATCGCCTATGGGAAACCACTTAGAATCCCTGGGCTGTGCTGCCTCGTTTGCACCCCGACTTTGCTCAACGCCACCGCTAGGCTGTATCTGCAGCCTCCCGCAGGATGCCCGACACACAGCAGGCCCCCAGTGTTTGCGGGCTGATCCAACTGACGACTGATTGAAAACGAGAATAAAAGCACCACCGCGCGTACTTCAGAAGGGTTGCAATGAGGTTAAAATGATATAGTGATAAAATACGTAGGAAAATGGTTTGAGAACCATATGATGCCATCTAGACATACAGTCCAGTTCTTTGTACAAATAGAGAAAGATGTTCTTTCTCCATTTTTAAAATGCAGATATATTTTTGATACTTAACTTAAAAAGAAATTAAAGTAAATGTGTTAATAACTGCAAGTTATTTCAAATCACCACAGCTTATATATCTATAAATATTCTGAGAAAAATAGGCTATATCTACCTGAAGCCTCAGACTTCAGTGATTCTTTAAGATTAACATGATTAGAGATAAAATATCTGTGATTTTCAATAGTGCAGGTAAAATCTCCAAACAAGTTCAGATTAAAAAATCAAAGGTGCTGGGGTCAGCCCCGTGGCTGAGTGGTTGAGTTAGTGCGCTCCGCTTCAGTGACCTGGGGTTTTACCGGTTCAGATCCTGGGCATGGACCTAGCACTGCTCATCAGGCCATGCTGAGGTGGAGTCCCACACAGCACAACCAGAAGGACCTGCAACTAGAATAGACAACTATGTACGTGGGAGCTTTGGGGAGAAGAAGAAGAAAGAAAAAAGAAAAAGATCGAATGTGAATTCCCTATATATAACACAATCATATTACGTAATATCTTACCTTATTTTAAAAAGATAAGAGATTTACATGAACTAATGTTGAAAAGTCTAAGATACATTGTTAGGTGAAAAATGCAAACAACACATTTATATTTATATAAAAAAGATCAACCCATATATTTCTAGGTGTTCAAATACGTATGTATGTGAGTATTTCGAGAAAGGCCTAGAAGGTACACACCTAACTGATAACAGCCGTTATCTCTGAGGAGGGGAAGGGAACTGCATGAGGGCAAGGAGGGACTTTAGAGTTATTGGCATTGCCTGAAATTGCTTGACAGTAGGAATCTGAAAAAAATAGACGAGAGCGTATTATTAATTCCTGGAATCCCTCGAGCCTTACCCGAACATTGAAGCTGAAAGGGTAACTACCTGTTCAATTTTATACAAATAAGGGTATGTTTCTTGGTCTTGCCCAGGAGGCAACACTATAGCTTCCAGTAACAACATTTAGGCATCCTTTCGTAGAGTAAGTTAAATGATTTTCCTATTGAGAAGAAAAGCTCGATGGCTGACAGCACTGATATTTAACATTAAACATCACACTTACTAAAAAAGGAACTAACCCACAAAATTAGAAAGATTAAGGAAAAATATCTTTGTTAGTTATATATACTGATAATGGGAAGCTCGGAATTAAGCATAATTCTCATTAGAGTTAATATAGCTTCTAGATGTTACTATTAAATAAATGAATTAAGCATTTGTTTCCTTTTTTATTAGTTTTATTATTCCAACATATTTGATTTGCCCAGACCATTATACAAAAAGACATGTTGACTAAATACAACATAATTTCCATCATCTGAGGGGACTCACGCATCATTACCTGATTGCTTGTGATGCTGACCCGTGGCTGATTGGTTTCGTGGCTCCCCTCTATTGTGACGGTTCTTCCTTCCCTGAGGACTTCCTCATTTCTCTTTGTTCATCCTCTTCTTCCTCCAGAAGCCTCCTCTCTTGGGATGACAGTTTCTCCAAATACCTTCCGTCAAGTGGTGGTAGGGACTCTCTGTCTGGAGGTGGCCCCTGTGACTGTGATGTGCTTTGTCCCTGGATTTCGGGACCCACCAGCGGATCCCTCACTGCTCCAGGACCACTGAGCCTGTCCCCGGGTCTGAACGACAGGCGCTCGTCCTCCTTGTGCTCATACATCATCAGTCTCTTATCAACCACCTCGCGAATCAACACTGAAAAATTACATGTACAGAAATCACTGTGATGTTTTCATGTCTCAGTAGTTACAATGCTGATGTATAGATGAGGACAAGGCATATAACATTTACCAGGCCTCATCCATTCCCAGTAGCATAACATTTTATATAGAGTTAGTACACTTAACTTCTATGCCACTTAATGTATGGAATATGAATTATATTCAATGCCTGTTTTAACAGAATATCATTTATAAAGTAAAGACAGAAGACTAATTTTGATCAAATTATAGAAGAATATAGAAACAATACTGAGGGTAAAAATTTGCACCTTTGTTAATATAATTGATATACTGAAAATCGAAGAAAAGTAAAATTAAAATCTTTTTCCTATTTATTCTTTCTACTGGAAAATTTCAGAGATAACTTTTAAATAAAAGAACTTACTGTCAAGCACTGCTCTTCCCACCATGCTGTATTCCATGGTTTTATCAACTTCATTCATTAGCCATGGAAGGAATCCTATCTCAATATCTGTCATAAAGAAAGTTCATTTCATTAAGTGATTTTTATGAATCATTATATATAGGGAGAATCTGTGCTTTTCCCCTAATGTTAGATTCATCAACATTGTCTTCTTAACACAAAATGTTAAACAGACTCATACAGCATTACTTTTGCCATATTCTTCATACACGTTCGGTCCATTTCCTTTCTATTGCAGTAGAAACAGTATTTTCAAAATGCTGACGCTTCCTTGAAGTCAAAGCCTTCAGAGCTGACTTTATAGGTGCAATCTGATCAAGGAGACGGATCAAGGAGGCAGGGAGTGGGGGTGGATCTGGAGCTGAACTCCAATTGAAATGCAATGCGAATCCGGGATTGAGCAATAGAATGCCCCCACCTGAAGCTGGGGTCTAACAGCTGATCAAGACTCTGAGGATAGAGGTCAGAGGACATCTGAGAAGGCCATCGAGAAATGGGTCAGAAACTAGGTGTTGCCATTAGTGATAAATTTGTTCAAACTAAAATGGGAATCTACGGTGCAAGCACTGAAAAAATATGGTCCATTACAATATACGTTTTAATGTTTGAGAATGGCTTTTCCTGGCAGGCAGGCACCTAATTGTTATTTTTGAATGGGGTGACAATAGAGTGTGAAAGAATATTACATTCACTACTAAAAACAACTTTTATCTGAGGCATGAATCTCATTTGCAAGCTTTTAAATGGTCTATAACTGACTTTTTCAGCAATTCATGAGAGAGAAAAGATTCCCAGCCTCTGTGACTAACAGCAAGAGGCCTTGCTAGCCCCCAGGAAGGCGGCGAGGCAGCATGGACAGAGCTCTGGACCTGGAGTCTGAGGCCTAAATGCCTCCCTGTCTGAGTGCTGGTGAGCAAGGCATTTAACCTCTCTGAGCTTCAGTTTCCACTTTTGAAGAATGGGAATTAATGTGCCCTATCCACCTCAGGGGGTTCTTGGGAGGGTCAAATGGTAGCATGTATGGAAAACACTACATCCACTGGAAAGTACAATATAAATGTAAACGAACAATATTTGTTTGTACTCTGACCTCTGTTTATTGAATTGAATACGTAAACAGTGAAAATTAATATTACTAACATCTGCCCCAAAATACTATCAGGCATTTGGAATGGGGCCTGTATACAAAGCACGGTGGATTTAACTACTTTTGCACCCGCAGAAGGAGGGTGGCAGTGAGGACACAGCAACCCATACCCTTCACCTGGCCAGGCCAGCTAAGGAGAGGTGGCTCTGAGGGGCTCCTAACAGCTGGCTAACAGGTACGGGTTCTAGACACGCAGAGACCAGGTCCCTGCCTCTTTTTTCTCTCTAACACCTAACATGGTGCCTAGAATAGTGTAAACACCTAATTAAATGAATAAATGACCTCAATAGCGGCCCCCCAAAGGGCTTTTGACTAGAATTGGAAGTCAGCTGAGAAAAAGTAACGAACTATTTATATATACAAGCACAAGTGCTTTCCAGCCCGTAAACCTTTCATATATATGTGATGACATTTAACTCCTAAAAAATTGTCATTTTACACCTAAGGAAACGGAAGGTCAAAAAGCAAGTTAATGAGGAAGCTGGGACCCAAACTCAAGTTTTTGACATCAAGTCCCTATTTCTTCCTACTATTCAATGTTGCTTCTTAATCAAGACAAAGTAACGTCCTAAAATCAAGATCTTTACAATTCACTTCTTCCTAGTAACAGTACTTACTTAAAACAACTATGACTGACTTTTTTATTTGCTTTAGAGATGGAAAGAGTCTAATTCAAAAGAAAAATGGGCATGTGATAAATATGATACTTGTGATAAATGTGGACCATTAAGAGGATGCTTATTGTAACAGAGTTGAGCTAATACAACCCTCCACCAACCTCTTTGAACGGGATCATAGAAGTAGCCACCATCCCTGAGGCTGTCAAACACAGAAGGGAGGAGGTCGGCCAGGTAACGCTGTGCAAACACCTGCGCCGCGATCTTCTGCGCAGTCTCGTTATGCTTATGGACCACTTCCCACTGCTGCTGCTTCCGCCGCTCCTGCCCAGAGAAAGACGCCAGCGCCGGTGGTTACTTAGCCGCTCCGTCCTCCCCAGATACTGAATCCAGTGAGTGGAAGAATTTCGACTTAGATTTGCATCAAAAAAATGGACTGCAAGGTACCTATTAAAGGTTCATATTTTTCATCGAGACTTTAATGAATTTCAACAGCTAGTAGGTACTGACCTCATAAAAGAGATGGAGCTTAAAGTAAAAGTCATCTCCTGAAAGTAAAACATTTCAAGGAAAATAATTTCAATATATACGTGCTTGACTATATGGATGATATCAAAGGATAATAATAGTTACTTATATTTTTAATGAGTATTATCATAAAGTATTGCTGATACGAAAATTATAGTGCTTAGACATCTTCAATTAAAGAACTTGGGCCAATGAATTACCTCATTTGTAATGATTCTTTGAATTCATAAAGTTCTGAAAATTATAAAACCTCTCTTTTCTTGTTGCTTCTTGTAGAGCACATATCTGTAATGCTAAAGAACTGTCTTCTCCCGTAGAGAAGTGGGAGCATTAATATATTTTCTAATTAAGTCTGTTTTCAAAGTTTTAAGCAAATACAAATCTAGATGATTTGTATTCTTCATTTTTCATAATATATTTGCTAATAGTAAATAAATAAATAAGTATTCCTTGATAAAGATTTCACTGATTATTTCAGCAAAGCTAATTTTGTCATTGTTCATTTTATATTTGTAAACAAATAGTCGTGCATTTGCACAATCTTTACCATAAGCCCTATGCTCTTTACACAATTAATTAGTCATTTTGGAGGGAAATTGAAAGGCCATTTGATTAGGTATTGAGTAGAATATACCAACAACTAAGCTATTCTGTGCAGTAAGTTGGACTCTTTGGGAAGTTAACTCTTTTACGTATTCAAGCACTCCTTTATAATTTCTTCATTCAGTGTACAACATAGGGTGACAGTTATTGCCAGACTCAGAAGGACCCTAAAGATTCCTGAGCCTACTGTTTCCTAACTGGAGGTTATTGGCAAATTTTAAAAACTGGATTCTAAAACTTTTATTAAAGGTTCTAAAAACCTATAATCTAAAAAATATTCTCTAATGACCCAGGTAGTTCTGGTATATCCCTAAGGGTGTAGAGAAGGACCTGGCCACTGAGAAAAAGACTCAAAAGTCTATCTAGACCCTCTGCTTCTTATCCCCCATCTATCCCCAACACACTCCACTTTTTCTTTCCACCTCTTCTGCTACTGACTTATGGCAAATTGATGTATTTCTTTCTCTAAGACTCTTGATATTTAAGAAGGCCTTTCAGTTGGGACATATGCAATTTACTGCATTTAGGAACTTTCGGGAACTCTATTTAGGTACATTTATATATGTTCAAATGTAAAAAAAAGTAATTCAGTCCATGAAAGATGTATGATCTAGAGAACAGGAGAGACCCTAACAACAAATACTATAGGTCTTTTCTAACATGTTTCCAAAGATCTTTAGCTCTATGACATAACACATGTAAATTTGAGCATAATCTGTTAAATAAGCAAAAGACTGTCTAAGAAAGAAAAACAGAACTCTATACTTTTTCCTCTTGGTGGCGTCTCTCTTGCTCTTCAAGTCTCTGAACTTCAGCCAGCTCAACGTTGCGTAACTCTTCATATGCATACTGACTGGCCTGCAGGTTAGCCAGCTCCTCCTCCTCCATTACTTCCAGAAGAGACTGCTCAATGGTCTTTCCCACCAACACTTCTAACATTGGTTTAACTTCAAGATCAAAGTCAAAGAGCTTGAACACACAAAACAAAGCAAATTTAAAACTTTAATCACGAACCAAATGCTCAATGAAAAAATAGCCAGAAGAGCAGCAATAACAAGACACTATTCATTGTCTTCTGGGTGCCAGACACTGTGTGGGTGCTGGATTTATGTTCCCAATCCTCAAAATCGCCCTGCAAGGCACACAGAATAGCATTTTGTTTACAGGCAAAAATTGGTTAAGTCAAAGTTATTAAAAAGACCCAGGCATCATCAAAATGAACCCTGATACTTAACAACTTTAAGATCAAACTCTGAAACCCAAGAAATATCCTTGTTTTTCCTATTCTCTGCCTTTTCTGCTCGATTTTTACTGTTTGTTTTTGATAAAGAACTAAGGAACAAGAACAATGGGTATTCTGGTGATTCATCTCCAGGATTTAGAGGCAAACATGTTCTTCTATGTAGCTGATGAAGACTTATTTCCCAGTTCCAACGATGCTTCTTTCAAGTTCCTTCAAGTTTTAAATCTCATTTAAGTTATTATGCACATACGCATTGACTTTTCTTCAATTTCATAAACTGGCCTATCTATGCATTCCACATTGATAGGAAAATGTAGTTATTTTAGGATTTTTTTTTTAACAGAGAGATTATCTTCATAAAAGTTATATAATCTACAAGCAACTAATAGTGGAATCTTTTATACTAGAGATCCTATTTTTCCTTATTTGCTACAAATCTACCTTATATTCATACATTAAGCAAGTATGCAAACACACAAAAATAAAATCTGTGAATATTCTAAGAACATTTCTAATGATGTTCATTTCTGATCAGCAAAGAGGAGAAATCAGAGAATGGAATTTGAAAACATTTCTGGGTACATCAGGATAAAACTACTATTACAGAAAAATTTGGAAAGAAATCCAGTAACTAGAATCTTTCTGATTGTGGTTTGTACTTACGTTAAGCTTTTAACTAAACAATCTATTTATAAAGAAGATAGAGGGAAGTCCAAATAATGTACTATACCTCTCCTTCTAGTATTTGGGTGGCCACATCTTTGCCGGTTTTGGCAGGAATAAAGAGTGGTGTTGGTGGTCTGTCCAAAAATGCATCTGTTTGGCATTCCATATCAACTTCTATGGTGCGGTCAGCAATTTCTTCAAGGTATAATTCTAAGAGAACACCATATACATTGATTTGAAACTCTGGTCTATTTCAAGCATATATGTGTATTTGAAACTTCGACTCCTTCAAAATAGAATGAACACGCACAAATGTGAGCTCAGGTCACATACTGAACTAAGTGCTTTTATATATTTGGAAGACCACAGAGTCAGTCAGGCTAGAGCATTTGTTGAATGTCAAGAAAGCACTGAGCGTTGTATATGAAAATGGAACTAGAGGAGAACATGAAATCACAGATGTATATAAGATTCAAAGCATAACAGGGCATAGAAAGTTAATAATCCATCTGCATAAGTGAGTCCTAAGATAGTAAACGGATAAAGATTTGAAAATTCTGGATATTTAAAATAATTATGCACCATGTCACTATGTTATTTGATGTTCCCTCTAGCCTTTAGATTATAAACAGATATACGAAAACAAATTTCATCTTAGGAATAATTTATATGAAGCAAGGGCAATGTGGTATCATGCAAAGAACATGAGAAGTGGAGTCAGATGTGGACTTAGCCAAGTTACACCCTGTTCGGGCCTCAGTTTCTTCACCTGTAAAAGGGATCATAATTATCTGTCACATGGAGTCTTTGTAATAATAAAGGCGATACGCAGGTAAAGGACCTGGTGTAGTCTGAGATATAGGAAATACTCAACCAAAGGTGGCTGCTATTGTATCACGTGATATTCTGATGGCATAAATAAACACTAAAGTTTAGCTCTCACAGAATTATAACTATATTGGCTAATCACAGACATATGCTCTAGACTTGGCCTCAAGGTAGGGGAAAAAGCGTGGCATGCTTCTCTGCCATTGACCCTTAGTACTCAGAAATAACTCTGATGGATCCACTCACCATCTTGGCAGCGTGCAAAGTGGATCTCGAGTAGTGACATCAGTCCAAGGAAAACCCCAAGTATTGTCTGATTATCGAGATCCTGTCAACCACACAGCTAGACCCTCCAGGTCCAGGTAAGCCTCTGTAGCTGAGGACAGGTAGGAAAAGCCTGGCACTGGCCTGTGGTGGGAGAGCCTGTGTGGCCCTGGGGAACATGCAAAGTGAGAGGAGAACCAAAGCAGAGAACAGAAGAGGCCGTGCTGAGAGAGGAGGACTCAGATCTGAATGGGCCCACTCCTCTTAAAAGACACACAAAATGCCCAAACAGAACTACACTGCTCTTCTGCCCTGCAATTCCAACAGCGACTCACGCTGGGCTACGAAAGGAAAAAGTGAGAAAAAATCTCCGTTTGAGAATAGAGTATGTGAAAAGGGCTGAGCGTGAATGAATTTGGTCATAAATACTGTTTAAAAAAACCCCACCTCATAGTTCCAGGCATACCCAATATAATAATAATATATAGTCTATGAATTTGTTGGGAAGTCCTGGGTAGAGTAACAGATATGTAAATAATACAAAGGCCCAATAAAAATGAACCGACTTAGGAAAGTGAGCAAACCAGGGAGCTGCCACGGCATGGTCACGTACCTGTCTGCACGTCCACGTGCTGCCTGCCTTCCACGGGTTCGGGCGTGTGTGGTCGGAGCTGTTCTTGGGCTCGTTTTCTGGCAAGAGCCCTCCTCTTAGCCTGGTGCTGTCTCTGAATCTCTAGAGGATCAGGCTGCCCAGACTAAGGGTGACAGAAAAGGCTTCTAAAATTCAGAAAATATTTCTCACAGCATGCAGAACTACCACTCCGAAAGTGATTCCCGGAGAGTCTAAAAGCGTCTGTCATACAAGGCTTCCTGATTATCAGTGACTTGAAGAAAATTCCATTTGAACTTAGACAATTATAAAGATGTCTGACAAAGCAGAAAAGTAACTTCAACGTCTGGCTAACTGGAAGGAACGGGTGCAGAATCCTATCTAGGACCTTGTCCTTCCTGATCCCAGCATTTTCACCATGAATTCCTCTGGTGCCTAGTAACCCAGCAGACTGACGTAACCATCCAGTAACAATAAATTTTAATGTGTAGTTAAGAAAGTGCAAAGCACTATGATTTTTAAAAATCTGAATTTCACTCAGACGGAATTTCCTTAAAAAATACATTAACTCACAAGGAAAACCACCTCAGTCCAAATGAAGTCTGTCTAAGTGCACAAGATGATAGCTAAGAGATTAAAAATATAACTATTCACAGTAGTTCTGCAACATCTGGAGGTCCTCGATTTCATATCTGTATCTCCCTTCGTGGTCATTCTCTATAGCTAACCTGTCTTATATCAAGGTAAATACGAAAAGGAAGGGAAAATATAAAAGCACTTTGCATGAAAAAAATTATAATATTTAAAACTAGATTTCTAAAAACACTTTAACTGAAATGACAATGTAATAACATTAAAGTTTTTCAAAAAGAAAACTACCTATAATCCCATATCCTAATACAATGGCTACTGTCATTTAAATACACAGTATTTTATCAGTCTTTGGGTGGGGAACATGATGTAATCTAGACAGAAATTGAAATATAATGATGTACACATGAAATTTATATAACATTATAAACCAGTAACCTCAATAAAAAAATAAGAATAACTCTTTTTAACAAGTGAAAAAAACCCCCAAAAATAAATGCAGTTTTTTTTGAAGTTGTGATGGTACCATACATTTTATAGTTTTTCTAACTTAACACTGTCTATCATAAACTTTCCCCATATTTGCACTAAATGGTGGAAAGAAGAGCATTGGCTCCAAAGCTCAAATTCCAACTCTTCAATTTATTAATCACTAAGATTAGTAAAGCTTGGACTACTAACCTAAGTTTGCAGATATTCAGCTTTCTTGTCTGGACAGTGGGAATACTAACAACACCTACCTCAGGTTTTGATTGTAAGGAACAGGTCAGAGGATAATGTAACAAGCCTAACACAATCTCTGACACAGAATAGCTCTTCTGCTACATAGTTATCATAGAGAAAGAATCGCCTATAACTCACTCCATTTTCTAATACAAGTACTATTGTCATTTTGGGATCATTTAGTGAAGGCTTTTTTTCTTTGTGTATATATTCTACATTATTATAAATATCATCCTTGATTTATTTCCATTTTCTTTTTCTTCTGAGGAAGATTAGCCCTGAGCTAACTTCTATGCCAATCTGCCTCTATTTTTTTGTATGTGGGTTGCCACCACAGCATGGCTGATGGATGGTGTAGGTCTGGCACCCGGGATCCAAACTTGCAAACCCTGGGCCACCTATGTGGAGCAGTGTGCCAAACTTAACCATTATGCCACGGCCCGGCCCCTCCATTTTCTCAGTGTAAGAGAATTACAAATGTCAGCTCTTGAAAGATTTGGAGTAATGTGAATGCAACAAGTTCATTTTAGAAACGGATTGCCCAACTTAACTGTTTCAGGGTCTAGTTAAAAAACGCATTGCCCAACTTAACTGTTTCAGGGTCTAGTTAAAAATCTATTTTTCAGAAAGTTTATTTTGAAATAATTCATAATAGGTTGCAAAAATAGTAGATAGAGTCCTGTTGTACCCCTCAGGAAGCTTCTTCCAATGGTGACATTTTATATAATTGTGGCACAATATCAAAATCAGGAAATGAACACTGGCAAAATATGATATGACAGTGATCTGTAACAGATGTTACTCAGTTTTCACAATTTTACGTGCATTGATTTGTGTTTGTATCTGTGTATATAGTTCTACATGATTTTACCCCATATACAGATTCGTGTAACCACCACTATGATCAAGGTAAGACCTGTTTCATCACAACAAAGGAGCTCCCTGGGTATTCCTTTCTATTTCTCCCAAGTCTCACCTTCATCCCTGTCCCCTGGCAACCACTAATCTGTTCTCCATCTGGATAGTTTTGTCTTTTCGAGAATGTTACATACAAGGAATACGATAGTACGTAACCTTTTGAGATTGGCTTTTTTCAGTAAGTATAATGCCCTTGAAGTCCATCCAGGTTGTTACATGTATCAATAGTTCATTCTTTTTTGTTCCTGAGCAGTTCTTAATTGTGTGGATGTACCAGGTTTGTTTAACCACTTACCTATTGAAAGACACTTAGGATGTGTTTTCAGTTTTTGGCTGTCATGATAAAGCTGCTATGAATGTTCACTTGTGTGCAGGTTTATATGTGAATATAAGTTCCCATTTCTCTGGGATAAATGTCTACAAGTACAATTGTGGAATTGAATGGTAAGTGCTAGTTAGTTTTGATAACACTGAACAATTTTCTAGGGTGGCTGTACCATTTTACATTTCTATCAGCAAAATACGAGAGTTCCAGTTGCTCCATATCCTCACAAGCATTTGCTGTTATCACTATTTAAAAATTTTAGCTTTTCTAACAGGTGCATAGTTATATCATTGTGGTTTTAGTATGTATTTCCCTAATGGCTAATCATGTTGATTTTTTTTTTTAATGTGCTTATTTGCCATCCCTTTCTTTTCTTTGGTGAAATATTTGCTCATGTTTTTTAACCATTTTTTCTTTTTCTTTTTTTTTGGTGAGGGAGATTGGCCCTGAGCTAACATCTGTGCCAATCTTTTTTGATTTTGTATGTGGGACGCCTCCACAGCATGGCTTGATGAGCAGTGTGTAGGTCCACACCCAGGATCTGAACCTGTAAACCCCAGTCTGCCAAAACGGAGCATGCAAACTTAACCGCTATGCCACCGGGCTGACCCTTGACCATTTTCTAACTGGACTTTTTTCTTCTGAGTTTTAAGAGTTCTTTATATATTCCAAATATAAGACGTTTGTTGGATACGTGGTTTGCAAATATTTTCTTCTGGTCTTAGCTTGTCTTTTTGTCCTTTTGTAAGGGTTTTTCACACCACAAAAGTTTTAAGTTTTGAAGTCCACTTGATCATGTTTTCTTCTCTGGATCAACTCTCTGATTAGCCCTAGATTCTGAAGGTTTTCTCCTAAAAGTTTATAGCTTTACATTTCATATTTAAACCCATGATCCATTTGAACTAATTTTTGTATATGGTGTAAGGTTTAGGTCATGGTTCATTCAATTTTTTTGTCTATGGATGTCCAATCGCTCCAGCACCATTTGTTGAAAATACTGTCTCTCCTTCATTGACCTGCTTTTGTCCCTTTGTCAAAAATTAGTTGGGTGTATTTGTGTTGGTTTATTTCCGAGTTCTCTATTTTGTTCCATTGGTCCATGTATCTATACCTCCACCAATATCACCCCGTCTTGACACAATTACTAATATCATACATAGTAAGTCTTAACGTTGGGTATAGCAATTCCTCTCACTTCATTCTTCTCTTTCAAAGTGGCTTTAGCTATTTTATTCTTTTGCCTTTCCATGTAAATTTTAGAATAAGCTTGTCTAGATCTACATAAACTTGCTGGAATTTTGGTAGGAATTGTGCTATACTTATAGGTCAACTTGGGGAAAATTAACATCTTTACTATGGTGAGTCTCCCAATCCATGCACATGGTATGTCTCCCCATTTCTTTAGAGGGTCTTTGATTTCTTCCTTTTTAAAAATAGCCATCATATAATTTAAAAAATCAATTTATTTAAACAAAAACAAAACCAGTTCATCCCTTTCTCCCACTCCTCATCCTCTGCCTCTGGCAACTACCACTTTGTTCCCTGTATCTATGAACTTGCTTTTTTTTTTTTACTATATATTTTTTGATTACACATCGAAAAGAGATCATATGGCATTTGTCTTTATCTGTCTGACTTATTTTACTTAGCATAACTCACTCAGGGTCCATCCATCTTGTTGCAAATAGCAAGACTTCTTTCTTTTTAGTAGCTGAATAATATTCCATGTATATATACACACCACAATTTCTTTATCCATCCATCCATTGATGGACCCTTAGATTGTTTCCATATTTTGCCTATTGTAAATAATGCTGCAATGAACATGGGAGTGCATACATCTTTTTAAATTAGTGTTTTCATTTTCTTTGGATAAATATCCAGATGTGGAATTGCTGGATCATATGGTATTTCTAATTTTAATTTTTTTAGGAACCTCCATACTGTTTTCCATAGTGGCTGCACCAATTTACATTCCCATCAACAATGCACAAGGGTTCCCTTTTCTCCACAACCTCGCCAACACTTGTTATTCCTTGTCTTTTTGATAATCACCATTGTAACAGGTGTGAGGTGATATCTTATTATGGTTTAGATTTGCATTCCCTGATGACTAAAGATGTAGAACATCTTTTCATGTACCTGTTGGTCATCTGTATGTCTTCTTTGGAAAAATATCTATTCAGATCTTCTGTGCATTTTTTAATTGAATTATTTGTTTTCTGCAATCGAGTTGCATGAGTTCTCTCTATATTTTGGCTATTAGCCTCTTATCAGATACACGATTTGCAAATATTTTCTCCCATTCAGCAGGCTATCTTTTCATTTTGTTGATGGTTTCCCTTGCTGTGCAGAGTCTTTGACTTCCTTTATCAGCATTTTGTAATTTTTATCTTACAGATCTTGTATATGTTTTGTTAGATTTATACCTAGGTACTCCAGTCTTTTGGGAATGATTGTAGACAGTATGGTGTTTTAAATTTTGTTTTCCACATGTTCCTTTTTAGTACACAGAAATATGACTGGTCTTAGTGTGTTGATCTTGCATCCTGCGACGGTGCTCAACTCACTAGAGTTCTAGTACTTTTTGGTAGATTCACTGACATTTTCTATGTAGATAATTTTGTCACAGAAAACGCCGAAACACACGCCTACAGCCAGTGTGCGCTGCTACTGCCACAGAAAACGCCAAAACACACGCCTACAGCAAACAATTGAGCTGTGGTTTCCAAATGCAGGCTCCTGAACTGGCTGTACCAGAATTGCCTAGAGAAGTTTATTAATAATGCGTATTCCCCTGTCCAACCCTTGGATGTTCCCATGCAGTAGATCCAGGGTACGGCTGAAGCATATATATTTTTAATGAGTCTTCCAGGTGGTTTCTACCTACACTGCTTCAGAATGTCTACTATTCCATACAGCACCACGTGGGGTTAGGCACTCATCTGTCATATGGTGTTTACAGGTTATCTTAACTGTATTTCATTTCTGCACCAAGAAATCATCACTCTTAATATCATGCCACCTGTTACTCATCTCTGCATCCTAGGTACCCAGGACAGGACCTAAAACTCAATAAAGAGCTGTTGAATGAATTAAAGAAAAGAAGCATAATTCAGAATTTTTGACTAAATAATGATAATAGTATTAGAGTATGAGATAATTTAAACAAACCTAAATATATTAGACCAGTGCTACTCAAAGTGTGGTCCTCAGACTAGTGCTGTCTATAAATTGTTTGAACTGGTCTGTAACAATTTAATTATGGAAATTGACAGTAAAAGTTTAGAAACTTCTAGAGCAGTTTTCCAGAGTTCTGCTAATCTAATAAAAAATTAGGGCTTGTATTTTTTTAATTATTATTTTTAATTGTGGCCAAATACACATAAAATTTACCATCTTAACCATTTTTAAATGCACAGTTCAGTGGCATTAAGTACATTCACACTGTTACATGACCATCACTGCCATCCATCTCCAGAAGTTTTTTCCTCTTGCAAAACTGAAACTCTGTCTCCATTAAATAATAACTGCCTATTCTCCTATCCCCTAGCCCCTGGCAGCTACACTTAGGCTTGTATTTGGATGTCTTTTTTTTCATTTCATTTTTCTTGTAATCTATCTTGATTTCATTTTATAAATGTTTTAGTATGCAACAGATTAGAAATTAAGACAAACGAACCAACTGGTCCTTCACCACAGGTACCTTGAAAGCTCTGTTAGACCATTCAGATGACACTTACCAGCGGGGCCATTTGCAGAGCATAAGTGTTGCCTCGGATCACCCTTCTGTCGTACATTATGTTTCCGTAACGAATAGGTTCTTCGGCTCTGTAAGACAGCAAATTCTAAATAACTACGATCTAAGAGTGTTGGTATCTATGAAGCCAACTCATTTTTAATAGGATTTAGGCTAAGATGAAAGAATTTTAAGAAAACAGATTTTTGTTTTAGCACAGTCCATAATATAAGGAGCCAAAGGGCTCCCATTTATGGAAGGCTTATTACATGCCAGGCCTTTCACATATATTATTTTATTTATTGCTCACAATAAGCTTCAAGTTGAGAACTATGATTCCCATTTCACAGAAGAGGAAGTAAGACTCAGAAAGGAACGTGACCCAGGTCACCTGGCTAGTAAGTGGCAGAGCTGGATTTTGGCTGTAAATCTGTTTATGAAGGATTTTGGCTGTTGAAAAGGGGCCTGCCCTAAGGGACGGACAAAAGTTTGATTCAAGGATTGAAAAGTTACATTATATAGGATCAGGCTTAAAAAATAAAATCAGTCAAATTTCTCATTGTTCCTTAACCTCAAAGATATTTTTAAATGATACTGTCTCAAATGTTAAGAAAATTTTAATTTGGGGAATAAGCATGATCAATAGTGAAAAATACACAGTTGATATTTCCATTCTAAGTTCTTTCATTGCTATCCTATTCATGGCTATGAAACCAAACATCGACCTATGCCAATAACAGTACTCTAACAGAAATGATTTTCAGAGGGGTAGTAAGTTGCTTATTTATCATATATTGAAATCGTTATTGGATAACCTGATCTCATATTACTTAAAACCCAGAGATGCTGCACTGCTCATCTTTCTTGACCTCGGGGCAGTGTTCAGCTCAGCTGGTCGCTCCTTCACTGAAGCTCTCTAGGCCTCTGTGACACTAGCGTATTGTTCTGATTGTTTTCCTGCGACTTCTCTGACTGCTATTCTCAGCCTCCTCCCGTGCTGGAGCATTTCCTCAGGGCGCAGCCTTCTCTTGTCCTTAGTTGACTTCATCCAATCTCAAGGCTTCACTTATGATCCACAGACTTAAAACTCCCAATTTTATTTTATCTTTAGCTCAGAACTCTCTTCTGAGCTCCAGGCATGTAAGTCCGATTGATATGCTCAATGACATCTCACTAAGATGTCTGAACGGCAACCTCAGAATTGAACGATCATTCTCCCTCTCCAACTTGTTCCTTAGTGTTCTCTATTCATTAATGGTACCACTAGCCACCCAAGTGCCTTCGTCTAGAAGCCTGGGAGTCATTCATGACTCCTGCTTCTTCCCCAATCCCTAGAGCCAGCAAGTCCTATTGATGCCACCCCCTAAATCTTTGCCACATCCACCCATGGCTCACGGCCGCCACTGTCTTCTACCTGGACCACTGTGAAAGTCCCTTGACTGTCTGGAACAACATTTCTCCCTCAATGTGTTCTATATGTTGTAGCCAGTGATCTGTTAGAATGGAAAAATCTGTTTGCTTGATTAAAGTCTCCTAGTGCTAATTAAACGAATAATGATGAAAATTTTTGGTTTTGTTTTTATACTATCAAAATCCAAAAAGAAAAAAAAAATCTCTAACACCTTTTGCCGGTGAGGATGGGGGGAAAAGATATGTTTAAACACTCTTGGAGGAAAGGTATGTCGTTCCATCTGTTTGTATTAAAAGTACACAGGCCCTCGCCCTGGGAGTCCCACCCTGGGAATCTGCCTTATAGAAGTGAAAAAGCCAGTACACGAGGCTGTTTACTGAAAGCTCCTTCTTTGTGGTAAAAACTGAAGCAAACTGAATATCTACCAATAGTGGAAAATTTTAATAAATTATGGTACATCCATACCAGAGGATATCACGCTGCTATTACAAATAACTGGAGGAGGGGCGGGCCTGGTAGTGCAGCGGTTAAGTTTGCATGCTCCACTTTGGCGACCTGGGGTTCGCCAGTTCGGCTCTCAGGCTCAGACCTACGCACCACTCCTCAAGCCATGCTGTGACAGGCGTCCCACATATAAAGAAGAGGAAGATGGGCACAGATATTAGCTTAGGGAATCTTCCTCAGCAAAAAGAGGATTGGCAGCAGATGTTAGCTCAGGGCTAATCTTCCTCAAAATAAATAAATAAATAAATAAAATCATTGGAGGAATTTCCACAAAGTATTAAGTGAGAAAAGCAAGATGTTGAGAATTGTATATAACGCATTATCATTCTTATGAAGTAGACAAAGCCCTAGCATGTGTGTATATATTCACACATCTGTGCATAAACATGGGAGCGTGGAGAACAGCACAGAAGCATTCTTGTGAGGTCGTTAACATGGTTTACCTGAGGGTAGGAGAGAGGTGTGTGAGGGAAGGGGGTGGGACTAAGGCTGCACTAAGAATGTCCCCAAGTGTGAATGATGTGAGTCCATTTACATAAAATTAAATATGCATGTGTAAGCATACATAAAGAAATTAGAGGAAAAAAAGGAATTAGAGCTTGTAAAATAGGGGGGAAAAGCCAAATGCAGATGAATCTGTGTAGTATAATTCTATTTGGGAAATAAACATCTCATATATATGTACATATGCCCATATACGTATGTGCGTGCAAGGAGGTACAGAAGAATGATTAAGACTGCTCAATTTGGTGCAACAGGGAAGTTGGGGGTAGAGGTAGGTGGGAGAGAATTAACTTTGCATTTATTCGTCCTTATTTTGTATTTTTCATTTGCTTTGACAAGCAGACAGTAGTTTTGTAAATTGAAAACCACCAATAAGGATAATTTTAAACTGAAAAAATCAAATACATACACATACATTCCTTCTAATGGCTTGGATCAACGGATTACTGCAATACACCAATCAACTAATTCTACGAAAAAAGAAACCTTCCTAATGAAGCACCACTGATTCTTACTTCCTCTGTTGTTCTGATTTCATACTGATGATTTGTAACCAACCACTTAGAGGTACCAGCAAGTGTTTTTGAAAGGAGTCCCTTTTTTAAATTATTCCTTTCCTAATATATATAATCCCCCTTCAAATTTAAATTTCCTATTTTGGTTCTCTTAAAGTGACAGACATTTCTGATAGGAAAAAGTCTTGTCAGAATCAGATAATTATGAATTTAGACGCAGTGTCTGAAATAACCATCAAGAGTTACATTGTTGATGTTCAATCATTAATTCAACAATTTGTGTCGAGTGCCTACTACGTGTCAGGTATGGTCCTAGGTGGACAAAACACACAAAGGTTCCTGCTTCCCTGGGGCCCGCATTCTTGGGAAGTTCTGCTAATTCCTAAATCTGTGGCTTATGGAAAGAACTTCACGAGAACCATGACATTTACGGTCCTTTCTAAATATGGATATTTCAATATTTGCAAATACTCATTAAAGTAAAAATGCAATTTGGGGTCCAGCATGGAAGGATAACCTGATGCCTGACCAAGGAGAACCCATTCCTGGTGTGGAAAGAGCTGTACTTGGCTCCCATTCTGGACATGCTATTGTGTGTGATACCTCTGTACTTGTTTCCTCATTTGCATAAAAGAGTCATAAAACCAACTTCACAGCACTGCGGACTAAGTAAGAAAATGTATGCGAATGCCCCTAGTAAGGTGCTCGGCACAGAGCCGCCCAACAGTAAACATGAGTTGGCTCAAACTTCGTGAAATAAGCCAGTTCCACGTACGTGCAATCAACCATACCAACAACTCAAGATCACTAAGGTTAACGAAGGGAGGCCACCCATGCCCCTTCTTGCTTCATTCCTCCAGAGCCCGGGAGAGTTCTCTGGGGAAGAAATTTCACCTCGGCGGCGTGTAGAGGAGGGAAAGCAGCACAGGCAGGTTTTGCCTGGGGATGGGGGGGCAAGATCCCGTGGCCCGGGCATGGGGGGCAAGGGGAGACCACGGGGCGCTGGTCTGCTCACTCACGGCTGCAGCAGGCTGTCTCGGTAACGGCGGCGCTGGCAGGGCGGGGGCCGCGGCCGGCTGGTGTAGGTGTAGGTGTAGGTGCCCATGGCCGGAGAGGTGCGGTCCGTCCACGTGGGGGCCACGCCCGGGGTCGCGCTGCCTCGCCTTCGATGGAGCTTGGCTTTGAAGCAGGTGGGCGCTAAGGCGTCGTGGGAGCGGGGGAGGTGCGCGTAGTGCCAAGGGCAGCGACTCTGCGACGCGAGGAGAGGCGGCAAGGAGGGAGGCGGGCGGGACGCGAGGTTGCCAGGACGGGAGGTGGGAGCTAGGCTATGCTCCCTGCGGGCCGCACAGAGCCCGCCGGCGACGCCGGTGCCGGTTGCCCAGCAACCCCGACTTCCGCCCGGGGGCGTAGCCTCTGGGCAGTTCCGGCGGGGGGAGTTCGCGGGAAATCCAGCGCGCAGGGGCACTTCCGGCTCTTGACTCCACCCACCCGCGCCTCTCATGCCGTTGCGCCTGCGCGTTGGCAGCTCCCCGTCCAAGGACGCCGGCATGGCGGCCTCGGTGGAAGGCCCAGCAGGGCGTGGCGGGGTTCTCCGGCCGCACTGTGGAGCGTGGCTTTGCGGGGTTGGTGTGGGGGCCATCCTCCCAGGCCCACGTGCTCCCGCTCTTCGGGGCGTCCTGCGCTGTTTCTCCTGCCGCCGCGCCGCTGCCCCGGGCTGCCCGCCTCTGATCGCTCACCTCTGGCCCCCGGGCTCCCAGCTCTGTTACGTGCAGGGCCGGGCAGGGGCTCCCTGGGGTCTCCCGGCGCCGCCACCTCTTCCGCCCCGGGCGCGCTCGGCGGCCTAGTCTGCATTTCCCGCCTGCCTTGTGTGCAAAGCTCTGTTTCCTGACCTCAGAGGACCCTGGGGCGCACGGAGCGACAAGGACTGCCCCACAGACAGCTCATTTGGGGAGAGGGGTGGGCCGTTTAGTTGAATCTTTATTCTGGACCCCCTAGACCTTAATCTGTCAGGCCGCAGGCTCTGAAGAATGAAGCATCATGGGGCGCTCAGACACTCCCCCCGCATTTGGTTTTGTTATTAGCAATGTAAAAAATTTTGTAGTTTGTGGGCGTGAAGTGTGTGTATCCCTGTGTCATTAATTATTTGCATTTGGATTTTCATTTTCTCTTTCAATTCAGATAAGTGGTGTCTGGATTTGAATCCAGGTGCTGCCGTCTGCTCGCCCCATAACCTCTGGCGAATTAATGCTTTTGTGCTTATTTTCCTAATCTGCAAAATGAAGGTAGTAAGATTTATGTCTTAGGGTTTGTCATGAGGCTGAAAAGCATTAACAAATGTAAAATACCTTGAATGTGTCTGGTAGATGATAACCCGTTAGATTAAGATCTAGACCCCTTCTGTGCATTGAATCTTGTGGCCTAAAGCGGGCATAGGCATTGTATAAAGAACACTAAATACAGATGTACGGTCAGTGCTAGAGGTGAAAACACTGCGGGAAGGGTTTAGGTCTGATCACTTAATATTGAGGTAATTTATGAAAGGGCTAGAGGAGAAAGTGACATTTAAATTGTGTTTGATGTGTGAAAGTGTTTTGACTGGGGAGGATCTTGGAGGAGGTGCATTCAGAATGGCTTGATCAAATTCTCAAAAACCCAAGGTGTTTTGAGCCTTGGGGATGTCTAACTGGGTAGAATGTATATTTAGATAATTATAAGAGCTAAGGAGAAAAATAAAGCAAGGAAGAAGGGTAGGAAGTGTCGGAGGTCCGAGGGGGACAGAGGAATTTTAGATTGGTCAGGAAGGCTTCACTGAGAAGGTGACATTTGTAAAGCCCTGAGCAAGTGGAGCAAGGAAGCTTGAGACTAACATTCCAGGAAGTGGTGGGAGCAGAGTACTAAGGCAGGTACAAACCAGGTGTGTTCAAGGATCAGAGTAAGGGGGCTAGGGTGAGTGGAGCCGAGTGAACAAAGAGGAGAGCGTTAGGAAATGAAGTCAGGGGTAATGAGTTCAGATCACTGTGCCTTGTAGGTAAGTGTAAAGACTTGCTTTTTCTTTCTTCTTCTTCTTCTTTTTTTTTTTTTTTTTGGTGAGGAAGATTGTCCCCGAGCTAATATCGGTGCCAGTTTTCCTCTATTTTGTATGTGGGATGCTGCCACAGCATGGCTTGATGAGTGGTGTGTAGGTCCACAGCCAGGATGGGAACCCACATACCCCAGATTGCTAAAGCAGAGCACATGAACTTAACCACTATGCCACTGGGCAGCCCCAAAACTAACTTTTACTCTGAGATTAAAAGGCCCTGAGGGAGGGCTGGCCTGGTGGTGCAGTGGTTAAGTTCGCATGTTCTGCTTTGGTGGCCTAAGGTTCACAGATTTGGATCCTGGGCGTGGACCTACACATGGCTCATCAAGCCATGCTGTAGCAGCATCCCACATAGAAGAACTGGAAGGACCTACAACTATGTACTGGGGCTTTGGGGAGAAAAAAAAAAAGGAAGATTGGCAACAGGTGTTAGCTCAGGGCCAATCTTCCTCACCAAAAGAAAAAAGAAAAAGCTCCTGAGGGTTTTGAATAGAAGCTTAACATAATTTTATTTTTTAAAAAACATTTCTATTCTGGTTGGGTTGAGAATAGACTGAGGTGGGCACAGGCAGGAGCAGAGAGACCAAATAGAAGGCTCTTACTTGGTAAGTTTGGCTGAGAGTTGCTTGGATCAGGAATCAGGCAGTGGAGGGGTGAGAGGGATCAGAGAGATGATCGTGGGTCTATTTTGAAGGTAGAAACGGATTAGAAGTGGGGCACTAGAGAAAGAAAGGAGTCAAAGATCACTCTAAGGTTTTTGATTAAATGTTGGACATTGTGTAGGAAAACTACAGAGGGGCTCTGGCTGGTGTTCTCTTTCTCCGGAGGATTAATTTGATTCTGGCTGGCATTAGAGTGGGAGCAGATGACCTGTAATCAAGGATTCAGACTTTGGGAGGGCTGATTGCTTTCTGGCTTGCCCTTATTCCAGAGCATAGGCCTTTAAGAATCTCAACAGAGGGGCCGGCCCGGTGGAGCGGTGGTTAAGTGCGCACGTTCCGCTTCGGCAGCCCCGCGTTTGCTGGTTAGGATCCTGGGTGTGGACATGGCACCTCTTGGCAAGTAAAGTAGAGGAAGATGGGCACAGATGTGAGCTCAGGGCCAGTCTTCCTCAGCAAAAAGAGGAGGGTTGGTGGCAGATGTTAGCTCAGGGCTAATGTTCCTCAAAAAAAAAAAAAAATCTCAACAGAAATTCTGGGGTGTTTAACAGGTCCCCATCTTTGGGGAACCTTGAACTCCAATTTTTGCATTCCCAGCTCTGTGAGACGTTGAAAGGACTACTCAGCCTTTTAGTCCCTTAGCAGCTGCTTGGTTTCTTGATTTCTAGTGCTCTTGCCACTTAGAATTCAGCAAGTGCCTTAAGGATAAAAGCCAAGCAAATTGTCAGGGTTACTTCTCTGGGATCCCCCGTTATCTCAGGCTTTGTCCGTTCAAGTCCAGTCTGCAGTTCTCAACTCTAATTTTGTCTCCCTGGATCTGAAAGACTCCTGACACCTCTAGGTCACTGCTTTCCGCTTGCCCCTAAATGCCCAGCTCAGAAACTAGGCAAATGCCCCAGGAGAAGAAGCACTGGAGAAGTACTGTATCACTGTGTATTTTCCTTCTCCCTGGGATCCCAATTCCTCATGTCCCCACTGGTTTGGTTGCTCTCCATTGCCTTCAAATAGCTTGTGTGGTTTTTGTTTTGTTTTGTTTTTATTTTTCTTTTCAGCTTTTGTAGTTATTCTTGAGGGAAGGTTGGTCTGATTCAAGCTGCTCAGTCAAAGCTAGAAGCTATGCCAAGAATGGAGTTTCCACTTACTGATATAGGGACCACTAGGGAGGAGCGGGTTTTGGGGGGAGCATTAGAGCTCAGTTTGGGGCGCATTAAGCTTGAGAGGCACGTTAGTCATCCAAGTGGAGATGCTGAGTAGATAGCTGGATATGGGAGTTGAGGGTTTCAGGGGATTGGCTCAAGGTAGAGATAGCAATTTTTGAGTCAACAGCATATAGATGGTATTTAAAGCCATGAGACTTGATGAGGTTATTGAGGGAGTGTAGACAGAAGAGAGATGAGCCCTTGAGCATAATATTTATAGGTTGGAAAGATGAAGAATAACCAGTGAAGGAGACTGAAGAAGAATGATCAGAGAGATGGAAGAAAATGCATAAAGTCTGGTCCCTGGGAGTCAAGTGATGAAAGTGTTTCAAGGCAAAGGGATTAATCAACAGTGTCTAATACTATTCATGGGTCAAGCAAGATGTGACCATTGGATCTAGCAACATTGGATCATTGGTGATCTAGAAAAGGACACCTTCAGTGGAGTTATGGAGGAGAAAGATCAGCTATAATGGATTCAGAAGAGAACGGAAGGAGAGAAATTTGTGACTCAAGGAGGTTTGCTGCAAAGGAAAAGAAAGAAAGAGGGTGGTGGCTAGAGGGAAGTTGGGTCAAGAGAAGGTTTTATATTTTTGAATGGGAGAATTGACTGTATGTGTATGTGTTTATAGGAGTGATTCAGTAGACAGAGAGCGAAGAATTGATGGAATGATCTAGACAAGAAAGAATGGGCTCTTGTGCACAAGTAGAGGGGTTGGCCTTGCCTAGAAGCATGGACAGGTTGTCCATAGTAACAGGAGAAAAGGTAGCTATATGACTACAGATGCAGGCAGATTGATAATAATTTTTAAATTCCTTAGTAACTACTGGTTGTTTCTGATATAGCAGACACTATGCTAAGCACCTTACATGTGTGATTTCATTTAGTTCTTCCCGTGACCCTGTAAAGTCAGTTCTTAGATTCTTTCTGTTTAACTTGCAAAGGAACTGAAGCTTAGAGTTAATGTAATTTACCAAAGACATGCAGCAAGGAAGATTTAAATCCTTGTCTGTCTGATTCTAGAAACTCTGCATTAAAGAACCAGCCTGTGGTGCTCATTATCTTCCCACCCCGAAACCTCTTTTTGCTGTGTTTCTCTCATTCTCCATATCACAAAGAATCACCAAGTCCTGCCCATTTTGCCTCCTAAATGTTTCTTGATTCTGAGTCCTCTTCTTTGCATCCTTGCTGTTCTTACCAGTCTCTGACCTGATCCACACAGCGTAAGTTGGATTTTCTGTGCAACCACAGAATGGTCTAACTGAACTGCACCTCTGACCCTGCTGGTTCCCTTCTCAAATATTTCTACAACCACTTTGCCCTTAAACACGCTATAAGCCCTTCACTCTATGGTTACTGCTTATTTTTCTTGTCTCAAATCTTGTTAGTTTCTCCTTGTACTTTTTTCCCCAGCAAAGCCATACCCTTACAGTCTTACTGCACAAACTATGGTGTTTTCTACCTCCGTGTCTATGATTTGTGCTTTCCCCTTATCAGAAATATTTCTAAGCTTAGGTGAGAGATTGCAAGAGAGAACTTAGGACAGTTTATTACTCAACAAACATCAGGCACTTTCCTTGTACCAGGCACTATTGTAGGAGCTAGGGCGAGAGGGAGTGTTCA